ATGGAAAACAGGACAGTGAACATTGCACCTTTGTTCTTTTGTGGCAAGATGTTTGGGTACAAGCCAGTGTCAGGACAAGACTCCCACCTATCTGAGATCCTACAGGGATGCATACAAGCCTTCACAACCCCCTAACCAATAAAATGCCTCTACGACAAATGAAACTATACGAGCTCGGATGTCACCTCGGTTATCAAGGTCCGCGCTCTCTACCTTCACCCGGGGGTGGGAGTGACAAGTCAGCTACTGGGACCCACACTGCAGGTATAGGGGCCACAAGCAACACACAGACACTACAGACCCCCAACCTACAGACACACAGACATTGAATATACTCCAACTGAACATCTCATCTATACAGAACAAGAAAATGGAGCTTGCAAAGACACTGTCAGACTTAAGAATTCATGTAGCCCTGCTACAGGAAACCCAACTACCCAAGCGGATAGAGCTCCATTTGACAGGCTACACAATGTACCACTGCAAGTGCATCAAATGTCAAGGTATCGCAACCCTCATTCGGAATGACATCACCGCTGAGGGTTTTCACCCAGAAACCGATGTCGAGACTGACATGCAGGAAGTTAATGTGCAGCAGTCAGATGGAACAACCTACACCTTCTACAATGTGTACTGCCCACCGAGATCTACTCTCCAGCTCAACTTCCCGAATACAGACCATAAACATACCATTCTTGCGGGAGATTTCAATGGACACTCTCCACTGTGGGGTTACAGTGATACAGACTCGACTGGAACAGTTCTAGAAGAACTACTGAGACCAAGCAACCTCATTTCACTTCAGAATGACTAGACACCTCCCACCCTACTTCATAGAGCCAGCGGAACTCTCAGCAGACCTGACTTGACCTTGGTCTCCGCTGACCTTCACCCGCACTGCTCCATGACTGTCCTAGATGACATAGGAAGTGACCACCGCCCAATCCTACTGCAAATATCCAGCAACAGGAAACGAGAACCGACCAACCCCATAAGACACAGTTGGAACTACAAGAAAGCAAACTGGGAGCTCTATCAACAGAAATCCGAAAGTAGACTCCTGGATGTATACACGACCAACCCAATTGATGAGTGCTACAAGGACATCACCACAGCACTAAAGACATCTGCTAAGGAAGCGATTCCAAGAGGGAACCCTGAGAAGTTTCGCCCTTATTGGGACAAAGAACTGGAACAACTGACCAAGGCCAGAAAGAAAGCCAGACGGCGTGCTGAGAAGAACCCAACAGCCGAAAACAGAAAGCACTATAACTACCTGACTGCCAAGGTAAAGCTGAAGACCAAAAGTGCGAAAAGACAAACATGGAGAGAACACTGTGGAGAACTAGACCTGCGTAAGGACGGGAGGAAAGCCTGGAACCTGCTTATCAATCTCTCAGGTACAAAAAGAAGGAAAAACCGCGCCCAAATGAAACCAACTGAGAAAGGAGAAACATGCAGAGCTGAGGTTATGAATAAATACTTTGCTAGCGTCAACAAGAAAGGAAACCAGAACAAACTGAGCCACGCAATAAAGCAGCTAACCAAAAGGGTAGAACAGACCCCCAAGGCAAACCTGGAGGTGTTTGAGAAGGAGTTTACTCTGACGGAATTGAAGGCAGCCCTCAAAAAGTGTAAATAGAGAAAGGCCCCAGGACCAGACCAAGTCACCAATGAGATTATCCTCAACCTGACAGACTCTCCCCTCTCCATACCCCTGGGCTTCTACAACAGGGTCTGGAATGAGGGACAGCTCCCAACAGAATGGAAGAAAGCAAAAATCACATCGATATTAAAGGACAAACCAGCAAGCCAGCCTTCAAGCTACAGACCAATCTCTTTCACATCATGCCTGGGTAAGGTCGTCGAGAGAATGGTCAACGACAGACTGTAGTGGTGGATGGAAAGCACCGGAACAATCAGCACATCACAGGCAGGATTCAGGAAAGGCAAAAGAACTATGGACCACCTCATCAGATTTGCCCAGAAGACCAGCGATGCCTTTCAAGATAAATACAATATTGTGGCCGTCTTCATCGACCTGAGGCAGGCATATGACCGTGTGTGGAGACAGGGACTGTTCTACAAAATGCAAAAGCTTGGGATAGCAGGAAGGATGTACAGCTGGTTCAAGAACTTTCTGTCTTGCAGAACTATCCAGACGTCATGTGACAGCAAGATTTCTTCTCAGAGGACACTTGGGGAAGGCCTCCTAGAGGGGTCAGCACTCAGTTGTACCCTCTTCCTGTTGTTCATGAACGACTTGCCAGATGTCATCTCCTGTCAGAAAGCACTCTACGCTGATGACTTACTCATATGGAGCAAAGAACGTGACATGAGAGAACTGAACCAAGCTATCAACGCAGACCTGACTACTATCTCGTCCTACTGCCAGTTATGGAAGATGGAGATCAACACAGACAAGACTGTTTTTGGACTCTTCAACCTCAAAAACAAAGTTACAGCAAGTCAGGTAAACCTTAAGATCAATGGAACCACCATCAGACATGAGGACTATCCCAAGTACCTTGGTGTACAACTGGACCGAAAGCTGTCTCTCAAAGAGCACTTAGGGGAGCTGACCAAGAAAGCCACCTCCAGACTAAACCTCATGAAACACCTTTCATCACTCAACTGGGGAGCTGACAAAGCAACCCTCCGACAACTTTATATAGGGTATGTCAGATCTGTGATTGGCTACTCCCTACCACCACAATCCATAGCCAGCCAAAATTCCCTGGCACAACTTGACAGCGTACAGAACCAAGCACTCAGATTTGTTTCTGGCGCGATGAAGACCACGCCTACAAGCGCCTGCGAAATCCACACCAACATAGAACCACTGGACCTCTGAAGAAAGAGTGCTACACTCGAAACCTATGAAAGATTTGTGCGGCTAGAAGACACGAACGAAAACAGGAAAATGGCAGATGAGTGGGAACCAAGAACACGCATCCAGAAGACCTCCTTTATGCGAGAAGCAACAAAACTACTTGAGGAGTTTGACCCACCCAAGAACAGAGAACCAATCACCAACATCAGCAGCGAACCTCCATATTGGCAGAGACCAGAAATCACAATAAGGATGAGACTTCTAGACCCTTCTTGTGACAAGACCACACCAGAAGAAATCCTCAGAACTAGCGCCCTGGAGACAGTGGACTCGTATGCTGAAACTCCAATCCATGCATACACAGATGGGTCAGCAACAAACGCCTCACGGAATGCTGGATACGGATCTACCATCAAATATCGAAACAACCCTGGAGAGAAGAAGCAGACCCAACTATTTGGCCCATGTGGAACATACAGCTCTAACTATGACGCAGAGAGATTCGCCATAGTAAAGACCTTGGAACAGATCGCCCAAGACCTTTTTGAAGGCACAGTAACACCAGGGGATGTTGTTGTCTTCTCTGACTCAATGTCAGTACTCCAAGCCGTCGAAGGAGGAGGAGACTACAGAGGTGACGGGAACATCCACAGCCTTGTAAAACAGATGGGCACTTCCTATGGCGTCCGGGTCACACTGTGGTGGGTGCCTGGCCATTCTGGAGCACCAGGGAATGAGACTGCAGAACATCTATCGAAGACTGGAGCGAGCCTGCCCCGGACAGACACAACCGCCTCTTTACAGACCTGCAGGGGGATCATCCAAGCCAAAAGCAGAGACGAGTGGCTAAACAGATGGGCCAACGCAGAAACAGGAAGATCTCTCTTCGGGTACATGGACCAACCCAACCCCAAAGACCCTTCGAATCTTTTATGTAGAGCCGATCAGACATTGATCTTCAGAGCCCGCACAGGACACTTACACACTAACAAAGCACAAACAGAATCAACCCCATTGCAGACTCTGTGACTACCACGTGGAGACCGTTGAACATCTTCTCCTTCACTGCCCAAATCCTGGCAGTTCTTCTACGCAAGCTCCTGCACACACCTACAGACTCACAAAACCTGCTCTACTCTGGCGTTGACCAGATGACAAGGACATGTGATTACTTGAGGGAGGCATTGCGCTGCCAAGAGCGAAATACTCGCAGCTAAAGGGATTTGAAAACAACAACAACATATATATATATATATATATATAGTGTGTGTGTGTGTGTGTATATGTATGTATGTGTGTGTGTGTGTGTGTGTGTGTGTGTGTGTGTGTGTGTGTGTGTGTGTGTGTGTGTGTGTGTGAAATTAATTTTCTTTCGTGTTTGTTTGAACATGTAGAGTGAGAACGGTGTCTCTTGTAGGCTATCCGTTGCAAGTGAAGAACCAAAGTCATCCCACTTGTGTGCCACGGTCTGTATTTCACGGTAAAATGCGGACGTAATTCATTTTTATGTTGACGAATTGATACACTCTGTCACTGATGTGATCTTCTTTAGTTATTATGATAATAAAAGCCGATAAACTCTCACAACAAAGCAGCAACAACAAAAATACATTGAATTTAAGTATAAAGTGCGCGGTGTTGAGTTTAATGAGCAATTAATTAATTACTAATGACTATAACTATGCTAAAACCATAACAATAGCTTACAAGGTGTCGTTGCAGGGGCTAAGCCAGATATTGGGGGGGGGGGGGATACAGTTTGGTCAAACCCTAGGCCTTCGACGTCTGTACCAGACCTAGACAACACCTTTTTTTTTGTCGTAGGCTTTTATTTATTATGCACAAAAATCGAGATTTTATAAAGGTCTTTTAGAATTCAGAGGCGCATGCAAAAAATCAGAGAGATTCGCCTCTTAGATTCGGTGAATAGAGGTCGACACGTTGTCCATTTAATTTGGTGTTGTCCGGACTATTATGCTATAGGGCTAGATCTATGCACAGAATTTTACACTAGGACTAGGCTAAGTGTAGAATTCTGATATTCCAAGTCCTTAGACCTTGCCCATTTAAGTACTTAACCGCTCTGCTCGAAAAAAACAATTTGGCTTTCCTTCACGCCCAGTGCCTGGCAAACAAGACACGTCTCTCTCTATCTCTATGTCTCTCATGACTGACTGACTACTGACTGCTGACTGCGGCACTGCTGTGTACTGTTCTCGTGAACCCGTCTTTTAGGCTAGGCTAGCTAGGCTATAAAAAGCCTATTCATGTGCAGTGTTGTGTTGAAGTTGAACTGAATTACGTCGTGTTGATCTGTCGTGTGAGATCTCTACAGAGTGAAGGGGTGCTTGAAGCTAAAACCCGGATATAATATCAAATTCTTTTCAGAGAACCTGTGCGACTGTGACCTGTTTCCCGGGGTGTTGGGAGGCTTCTTAAATAAATGACAAATTAATATCGGATAATATTAACATTTGAAAATCTGTTCCGAATTGAAAGGAACTGCAGACACTTGTTCAGTTGGTTGGCGGATCAAGATTGATTTACCCCAAGATTTGTCAAACTCGTTCTACTTGGCCTAACTCTAGATTTAAATCTAGAATCTAGATTTCTAGATCACTTTAAACCAAAAATTAGGTCTCCGCCTTCGCGATTCGTGACATTGCCTTTCACTTTGGCCTTATAATTTCGTTTCCTCCAACATGGCAAGATTTATAATGTCAGTTTCAATCCTTGTCCCCTTCCTCTTGGCCTTTTCATTGAATACCAAGGCTCAAGTAACAGTAGGCGAAGGTGATGCAGCGCCAGGAGGAGCAACTGCCAATGTGACTCTACAAGACCCAGGTGAGGACGGTAGATCTCTCTAGATTCTATCTCTAGACATGAAATCATGATCATGAAACGAAGTGGCTAGCCGCACTTAAGTACAGCTAGACTGCCAGTCTAGCCGTACTTAGATCTAGATCTAGGTTTGGCCCTATGGACTCAAGCCTGTTAAGGTAAGTACACAGGTCTCATTGGATCTAGATCTAGATCTAGATCTAGATCTATATCTAGATATATAGATCTAGATCTAGTAATTATATTCAGGTTCAAATTTACTATCTATGCATGCAAGTCAGTAAGGCACCAAATACAATTTATACTTTAGGCATTGCAAACTAAAAATTTCATTTTACAATTCTGCCATCAATATAAAGTACGGCTAGCCTGACAGTCTAGCTGTACTTATCCTTATATTATCTTAAGCCCTATTTAACTATTAATTAACATTAGAAAACAGGAGGTTTAAAATACATGCACTGTCATTAAGGCACCTAGTTTCGTCTCAAATACAAAAATACTTTAGGTACTGCACACTAAAAATGTATATAGATCTATACAATTCAGTAGGCCTATTTTTTGTAAATGGTCAGTCTAGCCATCATAAATATTAAGAATAAACTAGACTGCCAGTCTAGCCGTCATTAAGTACGGCTAGCCTCTTCCATCATGAAAAGACGTAGTCTAGCGTCGTATCCGATATCTCAGAATCTGTTGGTCTGATTTGTGTCCCTTCAGACTTCAGACTCATTTTCAGGGTAATTTTGATCAAAATTGTGCAGATCTAGGCCTACTAGATCTACTTAGATTTAGATCTAACTGTACTGTAGAAGGGCTCAGCGTTTCACCGGAAGTAACTGTAGTAACACCCGCCAAAAATGCCCCCGCCGACATGGCTGATCAGTTGTAAGGGGGTTTGGCGGGGGCGTATATGACCTGATATACCAGAAATGTCTGCCCCTGAAAAATGACCGTTTACAGCACTGATAAAAGACATGATAAAACCATCTTTTCTTTAGACTGTGATAGAAAAAGAATGAGCCGATCAAAAACGAAGTGTATACAGACCCGGTAACCGGGAACAAAGTCACGAAGTATACAGACCCGGTAGGGGAACTCTTTTGTGATTTCGGGAAGTTTCAGCGCCCACACCCGGT